TTTGTTTAAATTTATTCAGCTGTTCTCATAGTTTCACGTTTCATGGGGCTGCTACACTGCATTATGTTCCCATATGACTCGATTAAAGCTATCTAACAGGCTGGTTAAGTTATTAGTCCAGCATCTGAATACTTGTTCAGAATTGTCTTCGTCAAGTATTGACAAGCTGCAAAAGTCATATTAACATCTTTTTTTTTTAAACAGTACTTTGATAGTGTTTGTCAGATCAGCACATCTAAAGACTACTCTTCCTCCAAAGACACCGATAAACTGAAAATGGGGTTAAGCACAGTTGTTGGGGGGCCTGGGCAGCCCAAGGGAGTGGCAACAGGATACAGAGACTTTAACCTTTAGGTCATCAATTCAAATTCAGCTCAGATTGGTCATCACCGACATTCCCATGTGATTAATGTTTGTTAGCCTGGGTAAAGAAATAGACACAATAAATATTGGTGGACACATTACCAAGGTAACTGATCCCTTCTGGTAATCTCAGAAGAATACCTACGCATTGACACACAAAGCACATAGCAATCCTGATTCCTGTTGTTTCGTGGAATCCATCATCGACTGTGTATTCCAAAACAACATCCCAAATACAATCAAATTACTTATGACAGGTTTTGGAATATAAGCATCTTCAACAGTGATCAACCTCGAGTTCACGGTCATAACAAAGTATAAGGTGCAAAAAGAGAGAGAGAGAGAAAACTATATAGAAAAATTCCATTAAGTTCATTGCAGTTCTATCCCAAGCACCACTGCTAAGCAGATTTGGTTGAACTGTTAAAATTGTGGTTATAGGAAAAACAGAGAAAAATCTGAGACAGCTGACAGGAATAACCAGAGGCATGGAAAGACAGCTCTATTCGGAGTCATAGATTGAGATTTCATTTAGAGTCCAGATTAATAAATGCTGCCTGGTAGGAATATATAAAATAATGATTATTACAGGCAATTCTTCAGAAATAAGCCTGGGGCTTATGATTAAAGCTGGTCACAAACGTTCTTTCCTAGCCCGTAAGAATTCTGGAGATTTCAGAAAGGTCTTGTTAGTATCAGGACAAATCCTTTCACAATTTCTACAAAAGCAGAGATACCCAACCTATTATAGACAATAGTTGAGTGGTAATGACAGTTGCCTTGGATGCATTAGATATTCAGCTGGGTTTAAGTCTCTATTCAGTTGGATTCAGAAGAGGAAATTGAACCAAAGTCACATGTCTTAAAGGATAATACCCTAACTAGTAGGCTCTGAGTATTGTAATGCAGATTTCTCTTAAGGTTTCTTGTTGAACGGTTTTATTTTAAATAGCTATTTTCTATTTGGAATTAAAGCGTTCTAAAGGAATTTTCTTTAAACTGCCCTTCATATGAGAGAAACTTCAGAATTGATAAAGCAACGATTTCTACCTAGAACTGTTAACTTGAAAAATTTCCAATCGGCTCCACTATTTCAAAGAGCAAATGTAAGTAAGTTTCAGACATTTGTGAATACTCTTTTTCCTTTAATGTAACACACTGAGGGGACAGTGAGACCAGGCCATGAAAACTTTTTCTGTTCAAGACATCAAGTGATTTGAGGTTAGAGAATCATTGCTACTGATCATTCACAAATGAACCTCTTAAATAAATAAAATGCAATGCAATAAAAAGCATTTTCATTCAGAATTGATCAAGTGAAAACATTAACAACATTCACACTATTTTTTTGTGCCAAGTGTCAATGCACTTGATGATTTTCATACCGCAGAAGATAAGGCCTTTAATTTGAACTCTCACTGAACTAAGTCATCTTAATAGAGATTTCCTTTTACAGATCCCATCTGTAATCCTGAAACTATGCTGTTTCCATATGAACTACTAATTTTCATGTGAATTTAACTGCAAGTCTCTTTTTCATCTCCAGAGTTTAACTTACATTTGACTGTTACTTTGTTACTTCAACACAATGCTTATTTATTACAACTATTAATTGTCATAACTACTTTATGCAGGGCTTCCCAAAATACACCAATTCAAATCAATCAGAACTAGTCTTCCTTGAAGACCTCTACTCCCCTCAAAGTCTACCACTCTATCAATTCATGGATTTAAAAAATCTTCCCATTTATAGAAAGGCTTTTAAGAATTTTATATGAGTAGGAGACTACTCACTTTCTCTTCAGTTCTCTCTCCTCCCAACATGAGTTGATACATTTTTTTAGATATTTGTTTCTCATTAATAACACTTATCTAAGCATTCACTGATTTTCAACTTCTACTAACAAACATTTTCTCTAAAGCAATCTGCCAAAGCTATGCTAAAACAGTTCCTTACATCAGCAGGTCCTCACACACACACACACACACACACACACAAAAATGTGTTAATGTGCTGGTTTAACAGTATTATCATTTTACCTTCCCTTCACTTAGAAAGATAAGGTAGTTTTAAATTGTATTTGTTGTAAATGGCAGTTCTTCTAAAGACACATTATGAGACAATGAACATCCTGTGTGGGAAAACAGAAATGGTGGCAAATGGTCTGTACATAAGTCGTCTCAGTCAGTGACCATCTTCAGGATACAGATTATATCCTCCCTACTTGTGTTGAATGCTATCCTACTACATGAAAGGCTTCACTGCAATGAAAACAGACACTAGTGGAGGCAGAAAAAGACATGTCTTTAAAAAAAGCAGCCTTCCATGAATACAAGTTTCCATTCTCACCACCAATTTACTATATTACAAAGCAGCAATAGTTCACAATGTAATACACTTGGATACCAAACCAGGCGATGCATCTACTGCCAGAAAAGTAATGTGTAATGAATCACATTATTCCTCCAGTGTTTTAAAAGGTAGAAACAATAATAAAAGAACTGCCAAGCAAATCCACAGTTCTAATTTTATACTGTCTGTAGCCCTCTAGACCAAAAATAATTCACAGATGTCACTTTCACAATTAGCATTTCTATTAAAAAGAAAACCAGACTCATCCTAGTTGATCTTAGGCATTGACTTATTCACCAGAATAATTCCACTGAGGTAGATAAATACTTTTGCATAAATAAGGAACAGCACTGCAGGCCATCATAAAAATTTGTGTATTGAATAAGACAAAATTATAGTCTAGGAATTAAGACAGAAATTTTCACATTCATTTTATGCATGCAAATATGTTAATTTAGTTGAATATTCCATAGTTCAGATTAAGACATACTGCTTCAAAGAATTTCCCAAAAAGCATTATCACATCTTAATCAATTTCAACTTTTAGAGCTTCAAAACACTCCATTTTTCTATGGTTCATAAATGTCAATGTACTCCTGAACTAAAAATTCTTTCCATCATCTTTTTAATTTTAAAAGCTTCTTTTAAGGTCAACTTATGTTTGAAAATCAGATTTATGAAATCCCTCAGTTCTACGTTCAAAGGAACTCCTAAATTAAAATAAACTAACAGTCCTAAAAATACGGGAATTCAAAATGGGACATGAGCAGAATTTAGGCCTCCAACCATAACGGTAAATCTGAAGGCCCTTTTCTTAGCCTGAGAACATCTGTTCTCTGAAGACACTACATTTTTCTATCTAAATCAGATATAGGAGCTGCATTTCTGTGCGTGGCCAAAGCTCACCTACCTGGACAGTACCAAACATTTCACTGCACAGTTTATACCTAAGCCTGTCCGGAATGTAGAAATGAAGCCCACTCTGTGTGGGCTGAGGAGTTGGAACCAACAGGTGCTCTTAAAGCCAGCCATAATTGCTCAGAAGCTATTTCTTTCTGACGTGGTACGTGAACAGCAGCCATTCATGCCTTGCTTACCAGCATGACTACTCAACCCAAAGGCAAAACCCCCAGTTTCAATTCCTTCTTCAGTCCAAGGCTGAAAGTAACATCTTTTAGCAAAGCATTCTAATCATTAGGCTATGGGAATATTAAAAGCTGGAATAAGGATGAGGATATATTAAAGGTCTCCTGTTGAAGCTGTATCATTGTATGGAAAATAATTCAAGCTTCATTGGGCCAGAGAAAGAACACAAGAGGGAGCAAGAGTCTGTAGCCTAGTGATTTGGGCACTCAGATGGAAAAAAAGTGTGCTGAGTTCCTGGCCTTTGCTCCATAGAATGCTTGTGAAATTTATTTAGCAATCTTTCCATAGGATAAGACCTGCCTTGAATCTGGCTAAATTTTCCTTCTTGATGCCAGTTTCTATGTAACATTTAGTGTAACAGTCACAGTTATCAATTTGAACTTCTTTTTGAGTGAAAGACGTCTTTCACATGCTTTTAACTCTAAATCAAAAATACAGAACATCAATAAGGCTGAAATGTGCCAAAAACAAGCTGATTTCACATAAGTTGTACTTATATATAATACAATAACGTAATTAAAAGTTAAAAGCAACATAGAAATGTAAATACATTTATTTACCTGTGTCAATACTGCTACTTTGAATTACTAAGTTGGAACTTACTATTTGTTCTCATCTTTTTCAGAATGTGGTAGCATTTGATTTTTAAGAAGTTATAACAATAGTAGTAGACCTCTCACATCTTAATTCTTCTCAGTTCCAGTTTCTGATTCTCACTTTACACTATTTTCATTTTCTGGTTCTCATTCCCTAGCACAACAGTGCAATGTCATGCAGGAGACTGCTTAAATCCAAGTAAGTTTACCCTGAAAATCCCACTCCAACAATTTCATGGACATATTTCTGTTTTTGCTAAACATTCTTTTTATAATAGCTTCATTTTGGGCCTAAGCCTACATAACAGTGTCCCTTTAAATAATATTCCATGCCTTAAAACATATTACAAAAACTGTTATATCAAGGTATGTTATGCAACAGCTCTCTATGGTTTTAGCATATTTACTTTGTCACGCCATATGTGAGACTGCAGCCTCCACAACAAAACCTTTACACACTGAAGTCATTATCTCTGTGAAGTCTGCAACTGGCATTTAAAACTTATTGATGGCCTGGGTATTGGTGGCTCAGTAGGCAGCACTCTTGCCGGAGGCCCAGAAGGTGAGAGGTTCACATTCTGCTCAAAGAACAAGTTGGATATATTCCAGGATTGTGTGTGGGCTGTACTAGACTCCTAAAGGGGCAGTCCTTAGGACAGCAAGGGAAACCTTGTCTGTTTTCTGGATATCAAAGTCCTCTTAGAAATGGAAGAGGAAGAAAGAGTAAATTTCACATCTGAAGCAAGTTAGTGGAAATGAGCATACTTGCTGAGGACCTGAATTTAGTTGTATGTGCTAAATACGGAATGGTACAACTACAGTACACAGAACAAGCCATTCTGGTCTTTGTAGTATGCATATATTCAAGAGATGTATACAGACTGCCACACATGCTCAGTATTAGCTAACTTGCTTTATAGCAGAATGATTTTGGATTCAGTATTGCACCCTAGAACTATGAAAAGCACATGTATAATTTAATTAAGTGAGGAATCTAAACAAAAATGTTTTAATGGAGGTAACACTTCAGAGCACACTATGTAATTCCTGAAAAAAATCTTCAGCCAAAGTCAACACTAGCAACATATAGAGAGAAAAATATAAATGGAGATTCAACCTGGTCTGGTGTTAAACTTTGATACTTGAATATCCCAGATGTCTCCCTCCTCCTCTTCTTCTTTATTGACAGGTAAAGATGGATCTCTTGAAGGAACTGGGGATCACACTCTAGGCAAAGGTTGGACAGGTGATCAATGTACAGCATGAGATTTTGCCGTGGCTATGTGCCTCCAACAGTGACTGGATCATCTGGTTTAGAAAAACAATTCAAAATTGTAATATTTTCTACTGAACTTAATTAGGGAGAAATTAGCAAAAGGGAGTACAAATTATTTTCATAACAAGGAATGTCTCATACTTCTTCCCATAACTATGTAGCTCTTACAAAATCATTTCTTAATTAACATTTAGTTAGTTAACTTTTTAACTCCTTATAAGCCAGCATTAAGAGAATTACATCCCATTCACAGATGTGTGTTTTTTAACACTCATCTTCTGACACTCCCTCCATTGTCATTTGGTTGAAAGAGCATTTTCTAAAGGACCACTAAGTGCACCCACAGTGAGACTTTTCTTCTAGCATGTTCTTATGAACACCATCTTATACATAGCAGTTTTTTTTTTCTTTTTTAACTGTCATAGAACAATAATAACCTCCTTCCCAGAAATATCTGTTAGCATAATGGAAAGTGTAAATATCTATTAGTGTAATGGGTAGTGAATGAAAGAGATCACAAATTACAAGCATCTTCAGGCTATCGCATAATTAACATATGAGAAACAAGCCTGTTGTACAAAACAGGTTAAATGATGGCATTATTTCTAGTTTAGAAATACAAAGTAACATATAACAATCCCAGTGCAAATTTGAAAAGAATTTTAAGTTCATTTTGTTGCTAAAATATGAAAATAAGCTATTTGAAGGAATGAAGGATGTCCTCTTAACTTACGACAACAAATTTGTTTGTCTTTTAGTAAGAAAGCAATTAGTTGTTGTTTTTTTTTTTTCCAATAAAAATATCCTCATGCAAATATAAACACTCCTGGTAATCATGTAATTACCTTACCCAATGAGATTAAATTGCTGTCAGTTGAGTTCCCACCACTGATTAACTTTCACATACTCTAAACTTAAATGAAGTCTTTGGTAAAGTCACTTAGTCATTTACAAAGATGTCTCTATGACTCAAAAAAAGTATAACAGCAATACACTATTTGCTATAATCATCATATATCCAAGGTCAAGGACAGATCACAGTGGACCTCTTTTCTAAAAACCTAAAGAAATGCAGAATTAAACTATGTTGCTTATTTTGGTGTTTCTTGCCATGACTTCTAAATGTAATAGTAACCTTTGCCCCCTACACATTAAACACCATAATTATGTAATTAAAACTAATTATGCAATTTAACATACATATTTTTGTCCTGTAACAGGCAGGTCAATTACCTCACTCATTGACCTTGGAAGCTTTCACAGTTTAAATAAAACAATGAGGCTTTCAATTAATTTAAAAGTACAAACAGAAAAGGATCAACATAACCACAGAAGTCGTCAAGCTAATATTGCCTTAATGGATCACTTACAACTCTCTTCATTTTCTATTACATAAAATAAAATCGTTTATTCTTCTTATATCTTCTAATCATCAGAAACGTTAACACATTTGTGAACAAATCATATATATATTATTTGTCAAATGCAAGCAAGCTGGGAGATCATATACTACTCTTTTCTTTTATCCACTTCTCTTCAGTATGGTTTCCTTTGCTTTCTCCTGTATTTGTATACCTCTCTCCCTGTTACACCTTCACTTTATGAAGTGTTTTTCCCCCACTTTTTCTTCATTATCTTCTTCATTCCACTGCTAGCTGTAAAACTTGATTGTAAATTTTATATCCTCAAACTGCTGCAGTCACTGTCTTCCAATTTCTGCTTGCTACCCTAACCCTATCCAAGAGACGGCACTTCATGAGATGATGTTTCTCACCAGGTTCTTGCACCACTGGCTCTTGACAATGATAATTCATCACTCTGGAAGGAATAGAGGGAATTCCAGACTGCAGAAAGCTCAAACAAACGTGGTATACGGTCTCAAAATTTTCCCAATTTCAGTGCTGGAAATTTAGTATAAGTGACACACATTATATGAAATTACTGAAATATGTTTCTCCCAGGTAATGCCTTCACTTTCATCATATATACAGATAGATATACATACATACTGCATGGAAAACTGAAAATTTTACAACAGAAAACCCTGCAATTCTACATTTCAAACAAGGATAGAACTTCTTTCTCTCCATAGCAGGCATGTCTGATCTGCAGCTCGCATGCGGCCCAGTACACTTGTATTGGGGCAGCCTTCCACCCTGTACTTCTGGGCAGTACGTGCATTTGTGAACAATGACCACCAAAGATGAGGTACAGAAGGAGTAAAATTTCATCAAAAAAATCTCTGATGAACATGTGGAGAACTCACTAAGAATTGCAACTGCTGCCATCAAACCGGACCCATGTGTTAGTTTCACAAAAACGGGGTCAAACATCCCACTAGCTTTATGCTTTTGCAGCCCTCTTTCGTATATGTTTTAATAAAAATATTACCAGTTGAAATGAGTTTTGTTACTTATAAATATTAGCTGTAGTATATATTTTACAAAGCTTGCTCCAAAAGTAATGCCTCCTATTTTATTATGTCGGTCCACAATATCAGAGGTGTGGGTGGGAGGGCAGTGGAGGTTGAACCCATCCACAAATATTGTTACATTTTGTTGCTGAGTGACACATAGCAGCAGATGGGCAGTCTAACAAAAAGGCATCTCACTTGGAAGTGCATATGAAGCAAAAGCGTGTCACTGAATTTCTCTGTGTGGAAAAAGTTGTACCCAGTGACATCCATGGATGCTTGCTGAATGTTTACAGAGACTGAACAGCGGACACGAGCACAGTGAGGTGGTGGGTGGTGCATTTCAGCAGTGGCAACAGCAACCATGGGTCACTCCACAGTGTGCAGTTTCTGATGAGCGCAGCATGCAGGCTCTTGTTCATCAGTGGTGAAAATGCACAGCTAATGGTGATGACTATGGTGAAAAACAGTGTCTCGTAGCTGAGAATTTGCTCCATCAGAGTTACTGTGCTCAATGTATATGCTGTAGTTTCCACGAAAAATAAATAGGAGGCAATACTTTTGGAGTGGTCTACATATATATATAGACCAAGACAATTCCTCTTCACTCAATATGGCCCAGGCAAGACAAAAGGGTGGATGTCCATGCTTTACAGGGTAAACAGGGATAGTTTGACCACTTTTTTCTTCAGTAAACTAAATCCCATTAGCTAAGGAACAATTCTGAAAAAAAGTGTGTGTGTTCTATCTTAAAAAAGATCACGGTCTGCCAGCTACACTGCTTTTACAACTGCTAGCTTAGACACAAGTGGTTGCACTAAAGTTAGTACACTCAGCCAAGAAGTAAACTGACAAGGTGCATATAGATACACCACTCAAATTTTATATTGTTTTCTCCATATCTTGCTTTATGTAGGGATCAGAAAACAGCTACTGGCAAAACATCAAAGTCTACACAAATCTTTACTGACTTCTTGAAAGTAAGGCAAAAATACATATAGTGATACAGTGAACTTTGTGTTCTGGTTTCATATCTAACATGGTTTTCAGAGGCCTTCAGGTTCTCTGCTTTAACTATGGAGTACTTACATGAGCACCTCAAAAAGATATCAGTAAGCCTTTGAAAAAAAAGGAGCGCTGAACTCTGAATGCGGAGTTACAGCAGAAAAGAAACAATTTAAAATGGAAGCAGGCCTTGCAACATTAAACCTCAAATTGGAACGGATTTACATAAAGTAAACCAATAAATTGAAACAGTGCCCCAACTTCTGGACAATAGTTTGAAGGAAAATAATACAGTACACATGTAGAAATTTTATCCATGGGAGCAGAGAAGAGTATTCCTTATACTCTCATTTAACAAAAAGGTTCCTTCTGTTTTGCATGGAATATTAAAATTCTAATTCAGCTCACAGAGCATCCCAAACAGAGCAGCAGAAGAATGTGTGAAGGAGTCCAAATATGGAGCTATTGAAGCAGGGTGGATTAGAGGAACTGGGACAGAATCCTACAAGTGGCTAAATAGCAGCAGGAGATCAGCTTCACAAACAGCAGGACACTGTTCTTTTCAGACATGAATGACATAATACAAGCAAAACAATTGAGAATTTAGCTGATAAATCTACACATTAGGAAAAGGCCTTGCTATAGAACTTTCACATTCAACAGATACATAAGTGAATCCTGGAGCCCTAATTTACATGGAAGAACATTTTGTCTCATATGAGCATGCCAGGTTAATTGTGTAAAACGGAATCCTTTATAACACAGAAGCAATAATGTTAGAGGCTAAATGCATTAAACACGAGAGAATTTACTTAAGAGACTCAGCAAATGGAGGAGAAGATAAAACCTTTGACACTTTTTAATTCGATACATTTGCAAATCTTTAATTCCTTCCTGAACAATTCTACGTATATTAGGTTAAATTTACATTAAAAACAAAAACAAAAACAAATATCTGAGACATCTAGAATACCTAGAATGAATCATTAAAGAGAATCTCTGGAACCTTGTTGGTTATCCAGAAATTCCTTGTTACACCAGAAATATGAGAGAATCATTAAGATTTTGAAGATAAGATGGGAACAGGTGCATTTACAAAGACATTATCGAGTTATCACCTGATGAAAAGGAAGAATCAAAAGATCATTTTGATTACTAACTTTAATGGGATTTTATGAAATCTCACATTCATTGTTATATTATTATTATATTACTTTCAAAATAGCTTTTAAAAGGATAAGATCCCATGTATTTCCCATTTCATGGTATGAGCAGCTAGAAGAAAATTTACTCAATTGCTTTTTAGCTAGGCAGATACAAAACATATGAATAGTTTACATATAACGTCGTCCTCAAATTCTTTGCTTCCCTGCACAAGAAATCCTTGCAGACTAATTAGTTTAGTAAGTTTGAAATAAATTAGGTCAAGAAGAACAGATTCCAGCCTGGATTAGAAGCCACACTTCTCCCTTGACTCTTAAAACAGTGTGGGACAGAAAATTCTGAGTGGTGAGGTAACTGCAGAAGGCAGAGGAGATAGAGAGGTAAAGAACACTGGAAATCCATCTGCTGCAGCACTATTTCTCCAGTGGTGACTCTTGGCATAATCCCTGA